TGCTCCTCGAGCAACAGCCGGCCGTGGAGTTCGTGAGCGCCGCCCGCATGCGCGGCACCCACCACGAGCAGGTGAGCGGCCGCGGCGCGGCGGGCTCCGGGTGACGCGGCCCGTTACAGTCGGTGCGGGACGGGACCTTGGATTGGTTCCCAGGTGTCTCTGGGGGGCTCTGGGTGACACTTCCCGTTACAGTCGGTGCGGGACGGGACCTTGGATTGGTTCCCAGGTGTCTCTGGGGGGCTCCGGGTGACACTTCCCGTTACAGTCGGTGCGGGATGGGAGCTTGGGGGCGGTTCCCAGGTGGCTCCGGGTGTCTCCAGGTGATTCCGGGTGATGCGGCCCGTTAGAGTCGGTGCGGACGGGATCTTAGGAGTGGTTCCCAGGTGTCTCCGGGTGTCTCCAGGTGACTCCGGGTGACTCTGGGTGAAACTTCCCGTTACAGTCAGTGCGGGACGGGAGCTTGGGGGCGGTTCCAGGTGTCTCTGGGGGGCTCCGGGTGACACTTCCCGTTACAGTCGGTGCGGGACAGGACCTTGGGAGTGGTTCCCAGGTGGCACCAGGTGTTTCCAGGTGTCTCCGGGTGACTCCGGGTGTCTCTGGGTGACTCTGGGTGACGCCAGGTGACTTGGGGTGACGCTTCCCATTACAGTCAGTGCAGGACGGGATCTTGGGAGTGGTTCTCAGGTGTCTCTAGGTGGTTCTAGGTGTCTCCAGGTGTCTCCAGGTGCCTCCAGGTGGCTCCCAGGTGGTTCCAGGTGACACCAGGTGTCTCTGGGTGACTCCGGGTGACTCCGGGTGACTTGGGGTGACGCTTCCCATTACAGTCGGTGCAGGACGGGATCTTGGGAGTGGTTCTCAGGTGTCTCCAGGTGGTTCTAGGTGTCTCCAGGTGTCTCCAGGTGCCTCCAGGTGGCTCCCAGGAGTCTCCAGGTGACACTGGGTGTCTCCGGGTGACACTGGGTGACTTGGGGTGACACTTCCCATTACAGTCGGTGCAGGACGGGATCTTGGGAGTGGTTCTCAGGTGTCTCCAGGTGGTTCCTAGGTGGTTCCCAGGTGTCTCCAGGTGACACCAGGTGTCTCTGGGTGACACCGGGTGACTCCGGGTGACTCGGGGCGACCCTTCCCATTACAGTCGGTGCAGGACGGGATCTTGGGAGTGGTTCTCAGGTGTCTCCAGGTGGTTCCTAGGTGGTTCCCAGGTGGTTCCCAGGTGACACCAGGTGTCTCCGGGTGACTCCGGGTGACACCGGCTGACGCCTCCCCGTACAGTCGCCCCCGGAGGAGTCGCCGGCGGAGGCGGCGCGCCGCTCGGTGCGCGACGGGCGCCGC